ATTAGAGACATGTCATAATAGATGATTCCATCTGAAATGAATCAACAATGTTTTGCCACAATTTTTAACATCAACTTGAGATTTTTCTTTTAAAAAGTTGAATAATTTTAACACATTCAACATTATATATAAAAACACAGTGAATTATATATAGCATTTTTTTTTTCGAGACATAACATAAGCAAAACAATTCACAGATTTGGGCGAAAAAAAGACTACAGAATGACGTCAAAATACTTCGTCCTTTAATAATCAGTTGTGCTTAGTTTGAATTGTAATGTATATATATGTATGTAGGAAAAGGCAAATGTTGATAAATAGCGAGGGTCACAAAAGACTGCCTGAGCCCCCCCCCCAATCAGACTTGAAAATCGGAGTGTAGTACGCGCCGGGCCTGCTTGTACTTAATCTACTACCATAAATAAGTAATTTACTAATTTAAATTTTTTTTTCTGATTAGCGAATTAATCTTGTAAGTAATTAAGAAAAACATCAGATAATCTATCTGATGATAGAACAGGGCTTTTGGGGAATGGTAAGTTGACAAACACTGCTTCGAACTACAAAGGATAGGAAGTTGTGGAGAGTTATGATCATCTATGTTCTGAAGGGGACTTGGCACGTAAAAAATGAATATATTTCAATCTATAAGCATTTATTTAGGAGGAGGCCACTGTTACCTGCCCGACAAAAGAAATAAGATGAAGAGAATGAAAGGGAACACAAGAAGACCAATGAGGTTTTATAGTAAACCAAAAAGGTTTTAATTTCAGTGATTTGGTCAGTGGCTAAAAAGGAAAAAAAACATAAAAGGCTTACTGGCAAAAAGTTAGAAACACTTCAAACTAACTTCAGTCGGGAGTTGCTGGGATTTGTGGTATAGTTTACATGTCAGGCCAGCGAAGGGTAGTAAACGGTCTGACCTGAAGCAGATTTCGGCAACAACTGACTTTACCAGTCAGTTCACTTCCTTTTGGCGCCAACCAACGAATACGAATACCCAGATGAAAGACCACCACTTGTAAGGTCATCCGACCAAATCAAATGGCCCTGAACTCAGAGAAGTTTCATTCGCAAAAATAGATTCTTTAAACAGACACTTTTAGCGGGTGTCTTACCACTTTTCAGAGGATACGATCAACAATAGTATATCAAAACGAAAAAATCACTTGTGGAGATGCGTCAACTCGAATCCCCCCCCACACACACCAAAAAAAAAAAAAAAACCTCATTGACTGAATTTCTTAAGTTGCCACAGGCGGATATAGCATCTTATTCCTGATATAAATATAAAGTATTATTATTATTTTGTTACAAAGCGTTCACCATAACCTTTTTAGAAATTACAGTGCGGTGTTGGTTGATTTTTCGCCTTCTCATCTGCATCCATCCAATGTGCAGGTTTATTTTGATTATTCAATTTTACCACAAGTGAAAACAAAAGCAACAATTTGAACATGCTTAATACAAACCTCTCTTTACCTGATATTTTCTTTCATTCAGATTGTGAGACACATTTATTGACCAATTTATTGTAGGGACCTCAACAACAACAAAAAAAAACAAAAAAACGCGATACCTAAGGTTTAAAATGTTTTTTTTTAAATGAAAAATCTTCCGTGAGGCTTTTTATTTAAGTTTTATTTTGAAGTTAATAGATCAAATTTATGATTTTCAATAAGCAAAATACTTCGCTGTATTTCAAAAACTAACTTAAATTGACTGAAAATATTTTTTCCTAAAATAGCTGATTCGCGCCCTATTTTTAGTCATCTTTCATTGTAATGCAATTCTCTTTATTAAAAAATCTTCCAAAAATAAAATATACTTTTCTGAAATATTTAACCGATTTAAAGTATTTTGAGAAATATTAGTTAATTTAAAGTATAATTGATCTGATTTGAAACAAATATGATTTACTTTAAGTTTAAAAAATCGCAGAAATGCATTTTTAACCCGACAGTAGCCGCGTTTTTAACCCAAGAGTAGCTGTATTAACGTGTTTGACAGCATGATGATAAATCTAATATTGTTCCACGGAGACTTTATCTATAAAGCATAATTGAAGAAAATGATGTGAGCGCCCTTTTTATTTAATTTTTATTAACCAGTAATCTTAAATTTAGGAAAATATTCTCCGTAATCCAATATTTTATTGAATTTTAGAAATTTTGGATTTAAATTTACTATAGTCATAGCTCTTATTTTCTGATAATCTCGTGTCTGGTCGCCCGTACTTACAAAAATCGGCACGTTTATACTCATACAAAAAAAAATCAAAATTCTTTTAAAAATATTGGTGTTTGGTGATTTGTATTAAGCTTTCCCATTTATGATTAGTAAATATAGCTTTCACCTAATAATAATATCATCTAAAAGCTAGAAATTGATACTGAATTTTAAAAGATTTAAATTTAAAAAGAAATGAAAACAATTCTTGTAAAAATCCATTATTCATCTAAAAAAATTTTTTTTTAAGAAAATAGTGTCCTTAATACATCTTATTTATAAAGTTTTTTTCTAATTGAATAATGTCATAGTTTTATTGCATTTTTATTTTACGATTCAATGATTTGAAAAAAAAAAAAAAAAAACAAATTGTTTATTTAAATTCTCCAAGGAGTCCTGCTTTTAACTACTGTAAATATGAAGAGGCTGAAATTTTAATTTCTCGAAATTTCATAAAATTGAGTAAGTGTGGCTAGCAGATGTAAAAAAAGACAAATATTTTTACCAAGATTTAAAAAAAAAAAAAAAAAAAAAAAAATTCAAAAATAATTTAATTCACTTGTGAATAAGTTCTGAAAATGTCATTGAAATCCGACAATTATTTGATTTTTGCAAGAATTTGTAATACAATGTGTTTTTTACCGCAAAAAAGTCGCTAAATTTCTTAATACTAAAATTTGTCCCATCCGCTGACACAAGAAAAAACAAAATTTTTAAACAAAATATCAAACGTGATAGAAAGGATTTAAAAATTAATAAAATAATAAAAAATATTTTGGTCTTTGTTTTTATCAAGTTTCGGGTCTTATTCATTTTACTATGCCCTATTTTAGAAAATCTTTTGGCGGTACCTATTTTATTGTCAATCACTCTAAATTGGTTTAAAGCAGGGCCAATCAGTATATTAAACTTTGCTGCGAGTTCCATAGCAAACGGTTTTGGAACATATTTGGATAGATTTTAGTAGAATTAGTGTTTGATACTTTGCAAATACTGAATCGAAATATTCCTGTTCAAAAGGCTGTTTTTAGTCAACCTGGTTAAGTTTATTAAGAAACAGAAAGACTTCGCTCGAAATGAGGAACATAATACTAAACCGTTAAGTGATATCTGTCCTCCTATATGGTAGTACTGGACAATCTCTACAAAGATGAAGAAGAGACTTGAAGCAACAGAAATCTCGTTCTACAGAATGATGCTGAGGATACCATGGACGGAACATGTGAGCAACATCAAAGATTTAGAGATAATGGAAAAGAAAAAATTATACTTAACACCAGGAAGAGACAGTTGAGGTTTCTATGGCGTATGAGGAAAGAGGGCCTGGAAAATTTGATACTCACAGGACAGATTAAAAGCAAGAAACACAGATGAAAACAATGCATGACATACTTAGTGAGCTTGATAAATGGATGGCGGAATAGGGTTTAGGAGAATTAACAAAAAGACAAAATTTATTAAGAGATACAAAGGACAGGAAGTTCTGGAAAGCCGTGTTTTAATGTGTATAAAATTGAGTCATTATGTTTATTTAATTTTATTAAGCCAGGAATTTAACCAACGTTCCAATGTCTATGAGGATTGTTGGTTTCTTCCTTCGTTGAAGCAGAGGCAAGAGAGAATATCAACCAATGACTCAGCCTTTGTGGTTTGACGGATTCTCCAGGTGAAATTCAATATGCGACCGTTTTTGTTGAGGGCTGTCATGAAACTTTTGTAGAACTGGTCTTGAGTTTCCATGGTGTTTTAATGCTAACGCCAACAAATCAATAACGAAGAATATGCGAGCTCGGAAATACGATGATTTTAAATCGCCATGTACACGTCACAATTCCTAGCAAAGATGGCTGACTTCAAGCAGTGTGTAACTGTAGCAAATGAGAATTGCATTATCACGTGACAGCTAAATAAACACAAATTTTGAAAGCGATAGACGGATGAGATCGCGCTTATATGTATAACTCAGGTGAAGGAAATACCAGCTAAGAAAGAATAAAAAAAAAACATTAATTGTTCAAACCTGATGCGAGTTGTTTTCCCGCTCTTTCGTTGATTTATTCCTGTCGTAAAAATTCACCGTTAAATTAATGGCTTTAACGACGTTTCAACCCCTGCTGCGTCATTCAATGTCGATGTCAGTCCCGATTTATTTATTTTGTACTATTTATTTTACTTTTTTAAAATTATTTATTTGTTCAATTTTTTTTTTAATCTAGGAGAAAAATCACAATGAACAAAGAGTGCCAATGTTAACCTTTCTAAACTAACTCTTTCATATTTGATTTTAATGTTTTATGCATCAAGGTATAGAGTTACTGAACGAGATTGTTGTCAGGGTACAAAAGAAGGAAGTATCTGTAATGTAATCGACCCTGACCCGACATCTCGGCTTCATTCACTTTCTCAACAGCGTGACGTGGCTTCCCTCTGTCTTTTCTACAAATATTTTAATGGCAACTGCTCTGAAGAGTTTTTTTTCCGGATGTCTCGATTACATGAATTTAAGCGTGCTATTAGATTGGCATCTAGGTCTCATCCATTTTATTGCTGAAATAGCTAAATGCAACCACCACCCCAGCTCCAACAGTTTCTTTTCCCGCACTCCCTGCGGAATTCCTTTTCCCCCGATAACTAAAACCTTCAAAAATGTAAATGCAACACCACTCGCCATCTTCTGGCTTCTTGAAACACTAGGGCAAACTTTAGTTACACACGGACTCTTTATTGTTATTGTCACAACGTTTTCGGCCGATAGATTGTCCTTAGCCTCACAGCCATATCACATTGAAACCCCGGTTTTCATACGATCACCGAAGTTAAGCAACGGCGAACCTTGTCAGTACCTAGATGGTTGACCGTTTTGGAAGACTAAGTGCTGTAAGCTTGGATATGCGGCCAATGTAAAGGATAACGGCTCAGAATTGAACATCGGAGAGCCAAGTTCAAATTTCAGTCAGGTTTGTTCTATTCACTTACGACGCGCAAATACCCCTGGTTACGGTATGAATTCACCGCTCCCCCAGCTATGGGTTAATTAGCAGGACTTGTATCAGTAAATCATTATTATCCCCCACCAAAAAAAAAAAAAAAATTCTTACAATCTAAAAATATGTCCTGGCTTTAAATAACCTGATAGGCCGTAAAAAAAGAATAAATTAATCAAGATTATTCTCGTTCCGCTGTCCAAGTCTAGGGATCTCTTGTCTAGTTCATATTTAATAAATAAAAGGGTCATCTCAAAATTCCCGAATTAACAAGCATTTGATGAAAGCCTGAGAGAATAACGACCGAAACGTTGTCGCAATAACAACAAAGATTCAAGTGTAAATAATGTGAATAATGATAACTCTTCATCCGACAAATTCAGACAGAAATTGGACAAGTCTCTCTGACATGTCAACTTGTCCTGGCAATTGCAAAAAAAAAAACAAAAAAAAAAAAAACAAAAAAACAAAAAAAAAAACTGTACCGTTACTATCATTATCAACCATAACAGGAACCGTAAAAATGGTTTTAACTATAAATCAATCATTTGAATGTTGAAATATTTTAATTTTGACTCGTTACCTTGTAAGGAAATCGCTACAAAGATCACTTGATTTCGTCTCTCATATCAATTGGGGTTAGTCTTTCGTGGACGACACTTTGACCAATTCAACAACAGACAAAGTTCAAATTTATAGCCACATTCCCAACCAATTCTGTGCAAAACTTCGCACTATATTGTTTGTAAATAAGAGTAATGTAATTGTTAATAACATTCCGGGACAAATTTGTTAAATCTGAAATATGTTATCTTCTGTGTTCATTATAAATCAAATGATTATTGTACGTTTATTATTAATTATTTATTGGTTTTCTTCAAAATTTGAATCCCATTCTTCTTTTTGCGGATTTCTTTGCATAGCAAGAAAAATACGAGAGAATAAGCCCTGTCGTGTCTATAAAGAAATACAGAAATTAGTTATACTGTCACTGTGTAGTGTCCATATAAAAATAAATAATAATATAGTGTCAAAATAATTATAAAATAATTATAATAAAATAATTATAACTTATAATTATCATTAATTCACTCTTTCTAAACCAATGAGAATCGATCCCACTTTTCTCCTCTACACACACAAACACATGACATTCTCATTATCGGACAAGCGATCAAAACAGACAGGCCATCAAAACATGTGTCAACGAAAATTTCGCCGCGTTTTCCATTTTCAGGCCATAATAGTAACATTTATCTCTTAGCACTCAACAAAAATTCGAGGTAAGAAAACTCCAGACACTTACTGCATTTTCCAATTAAATTATCTGGACACTCATTACACACATCTATAAAAAACATACGATAAAACTGTATACACTTTACTTATTCTTTATTTTATAATTCTGTCGGATTCCTATCAATATTTAATCTACATTTGATTCCAAACTCACAAGCTTACTCAGTATTACAGTCTCTCTTTTCTCCATCATCACATAACAACAAGATAATAAATAATACTCGTTTTGTTGTTTGCACGTCTTGTTGTTTCTCATTTTATGAGTATTTTTGTATGTATAAATGTTGGGGGGGTTAAAATTATTTAGGGGGTTTATAATTATTTAATATTCTACAGCCCGAATAGAAGAACGAACTAGTGATTTCAAACATGAAATCACTAGTATTACGCAATATACTACGAGAATTAGTGTAATTTGATACCATTTTGTTTTGTTTTTTAGACTTTTAAACGATAAAAAGAAGTGGAAAGATCATATTGAATCAATTGATAGGTCTGTTGCTAGGAAAGATGTTTTTACTGTGTCGTGCTAGACAACTTTTCTCGTCAGAATCTATCTTATATATTTATAAGTATATAATTCGTCCGTACATCGAATATTGTTTTCACATCTGGTCTGGCGCTTTTGCTATGTATTTAGATATAATGTAATATCCAAAGAGGAATCTGCAATATTATCGGTCCTGACTTGGCATCTCGGCTTCAGTCACATTTCCACCACCATAGCTTAGTTTTTATCTTGCCTTTTCTATAAATATTTTCATATTAATTATTCTGGTGAGCTATCCTCTTTGGTAATTCGACTTTACGAATTTGATAGTACTACTAGATTGGTAACTAAGTCTCATCATTTTACAGTTGAAACTCTTAGATGTAATCGTAAGTTCTATGCTAACAGTTTCTTCTATCGCACTTCTCGCTTGTGGAACTCTTTTCCGACTTCTTGCTTTCCGGTCTACTTTGATCTTCAAAAACTTAAATTCGATGTCTATCGTTATCTTCTGTCGTCTTAACTGTCGTTCTTTTATTGTTTTCTCTCCTTAATAGTGCTATTTTTTTTTCATACATATTCTGTTACACTCAGTAGACCCTTGCGTCTTACTGACTTTATTGCCCGCTTGGGGGTGAATGATTAAAAAACAGTTAAGATGTTTGGATGTAATCTTCTGTCAAGTATAAGTTCTTTCTGATCGGCGCTGTCTACTGATGGCTGTAGACTGACGGTCTCAATATTTGCGATTAAAAGCAAATGAAATTAAGGTGAAATAAATGCTAAAAATTAACGATAGTCAATTCGATTGTTCAGACTTGATATTTTCCAATTCGAAAAAAAAATATATGCGTTTCCATCGTAATGCGGCAATATTTAATTGCAAGTATCGCTATCAAACAGAAGACCCACCCAACCAAAAAAAAAAAAAAAAAAAAAGAAGATATTAAAGACAGCAGTACACTGGATGGTTTCATTTTCACCCACTTGTAGAAATGGATTCAGTCGGATGACGTATTTGTCGCGCCATCGCTAAATGGGTCGTATAGCTTTGGCGGCTATGGCAAACGCATAAGTTCTAACACCGATTGACCGTGGAGTAATTGTTGGCACCAGAAAGATATTTCATTTTATTCCCGAGGTTACAACTGCTTTAGGTTTGACATTTTTTTATGCAAGTATAGCAAGAGTATACCAAAAATATGTGAATTTCAGACAGACATCAGTGGCACGTGAAAACTGCAGGCGTCTACAGGTGATGTAAGATCATGACCTCAGGTCTAATATATATATATATATCAGGTTAATATATAAGGATGGGGATCACCCAACCAAGGCATATATCACTGCATCTAACCCCGCCCAAATCCAACGCTCGCGTCACTCAATGCATTAATCAACGCAGTAAATGCTGTTTTGTTACCGTTGACCAACAAAATTCAGCATTACTGACATCACGGCATTAGTTATTGCGCTTGACATAAGTCGGATTGATTTGATTTTTACGGTTTATCGACCCTTTGTGGGTTATTTAAAGAATATTAAACATATTTTTGATTGTAAGAATAATTCTTTTTTCTGCGATTGAATATTGCATTAACAATTTTTTAGAGAATAACAATGATTTTTCCAGATAAAAGTTTTACTTTTTAACCCAGAGCTGGGGGCGGAGCTGGATTCATACCTTTCCCAAGGTTATTTGTGCGTAAGTATTTTTTTTTTTTTTTTTTTTACTAATGTTCACGCGAGAGCCACTCAAGGTAGAGGGTTACTGTGTGGAATTGTATTAGCGTAAGAAAAAACATTGTTAGAAGTATAAAGCTGAAGCAGACTTTAGACGGAGCAGGAAATTCAATCCTAAACAGGAAAAAAGGGATAAACCTCTACTCCTCTCCGAAATACCAGGGAGGTGTGTTAACCAGACGATAAGCAAACCTATCTATTCATATTGATGGAGGAGAGAAAATAAATAAATAAAATGAAATAAATAGTGAATAAAATTTCAGAGTTCAGGTGCAGGTATTAGGAGTACAGAGCTGAAGCAGACTTTAGACGCAACTGGAAAGCCAGTCCTAAACAGAAAACAAGAGATAAACCTCTACTCCTGTTCAAAAGACGAGCGAGGAGTGTGAATCGGACGATAGGCGAACCTATCTACTCTTTTAAATGTAACGATGACGTGAGAATATTGTTATTGAACAGCAAAAGACAGGCGCATTGCCACCTGCTAAGGAACATTTCATCTCTTTTGGGGCAGACGGTTGAGTTTGCGTGTTGGAGAAGTTCGCACGAGGCTATTGTCCCAGCCTGTCAGCACAGCGCTGTGCAAACTGGTTGAGGATCTGTAATGGTGTTGAAGTGTGTTCTATTAGAGCCTAAAATTCATGTAACTGAAGTCTACCTTGACAAGTGTGGCATAGATGTTTACTGGTGGTGATATTTTGTTCTGTTCGTGGGAGGGTATCACGAAACCAGTTCATGTATCACATAATTGACTTTTAGGTCATTACTCCCACGCTCGTCGGATTTAGACCCTATTGTACAGGAATGGGGTTTGTTGCAAACTTAAACTATACGCAGTCACACACAAGAAACATAACTTTGATAAGCATACGCAACGTCTCTAGTATTTGAGTGAATTTGCTGTTATTTGAGTAAAGAAAAGAGTTAGATATTATTTAGTAGCCTTAGTAATGTTTCTGTTTCTAATTCTTTTACACCCAGTAACCCCTTTTGTTACAGTGGCTTTACTGCCTTGCTTGAGGTTAATTCGATTAAAAGAAAAGACGTTTCAGAATTTTGGGCTCTTCAGTTTACTTGAATCTGTATCATAGGACATATTGTTAGAATAAGGGGGCAGAGGTCAAGAGTAAGTAACTTACCTAATAAGTTTGGGTGAATGGATGATGGAGCAGGTGAAAAGACTGATGGTAGAGTATCAAATATTGCTTAGAGTAACCTGGGACAAAAAGCAGCGGAGTGCCATGATCGTCCACGTCCTGAATGGACAAGGCTCATAAAAGATTATTCCAAAAATCACGGTGAGGGGGGGGGGTTACCTAATTCCCACAATGGCAGGTTTAATACAAGGCCATAATTAACATGCGAC